TTACAAGAGGTGCTCAAAGTGGTTACCATCAGCATCCAGACACTTCTGATTATGGCAAACTACTGCTTGAGTAACGTTGACCAAAGTGTGCACTTATATACATTTTTTTTGGCACCCCTGAGAGAGAGAGAGAGAGAGAGAGAGAGAGAGAGAGAGAGAGAGAGAGAGAGAGAGAGATATAAAACAATGTTATTTTATGCTAGTTTCAGGTGTACAGCACAGCAGTTAGACATTTATATAATTTATGTAGTGATCCCCCCGATAAATCTAGTATCCGACACCATACATAGTTTTTACATTATTGACTATATTCCTCATACTGTGTTTCACATCCCTGTGACTATTTTGTTAACTACCAATTTGTACTTTCTAATCCCTTCACTTTTCTCACTCATCCCCCCAACCCCCCTCCCACATATCACCCATCAGTTTATTCTCTGTATCTATGAAGTCTGTTTCTGTTTACTTTGTTTATTCTGTTCTTTAGATTTCACATGTAAGTGAGATCATACGATATTTGTCTTTCTCAGTCTGACTTATTTCACTTAGCATTATATCTTCTAGGTCCATCCATGTTCTTGCAAATGGTAAGATTTCATTCTTTTTTATGGCAGAGTAATACTCCATTGTATAAATGTACCACAATCTCTTTATCCAATCATCTGTCAATGGGCATTTCAGTTGTTTCCATGTGTTGGCTATTGTGAATAGCGCTGCAGTAAACATGGGATGCATCAAAACATAGTACATTCTTAACTGAATTGATAAATGTCCATCCTGAGAGTTTTTTTAATGATAAAATAATTCACATAGATTTATTTTGGGGAAAGTTGGTTTTGTTTATTAACTGAAACTTCCTTATGATACACATTCTGCAAAGATGAAAATTCTCCCTACATAATGGAGGCAGTCTTTAATATATAGAGGTAGTTTTTTTTTATAAGACCAGAATGAAACTGGAAGAAAGAAGTATTTGAAGTACTGTATATCTCTTTCCAAATTATTAGCCTGTTTGCAAAATGATGACTTAAAAAATTTTAAATATGGTATATATTAATTTAGTGTTCATGATCATTCCCCAAATCTTTGACTTTTAGGCTTTTTATTCCCAATGGATATGTTCATCTTATAAAAAGTTCAGGAGTATTGTTTCTAGTTTTAATATTGAAAAAAATTTTTTTAAAGGGACGTCAGAAATTATGTGAATCTGATGCCAGGAAAATAGCAATTTTTATAGTTTTGGAAACATGTACAACATTTCAGCATTAAGATCAGTGATCAAGTAATTCCTAAAAAGATACACCTTTGTGATTATCATTTATTGTTTAGATATGGAAGTATAAAGTTGGTTATCCAATAAATCTATGTGACAGAGCCATACTCTGCTGTTCTGTCTCCTTATTAACTCTACAGTAGTCATTTGGTAAAAAGAGGTAGCAGTTATGACTACCTCATTTAGAAACTGCTTTTGAGACATAACTTCAATGTTCCTGTATTCAAAATTTCATAAAATTAGTGGATGCATTATAGTAAATATAAATTAGCAAACATTTATTGACTAATCGTTGTGAAATATATTGCACAAATCCTGTGCATATACATTAAAGAAAAAAATACTGTTCCTACATTATTATTGCTCAGGTCTATTGGAAAAGATGGTAAGATGACTGATAAATTAAGGGATATACAAATATGCGTAGGACAATCAGTGGGAAGAGATGATGAGAAGGGAGGGAGGATTTTGCCAGACCATGAAGATTACTAACATTTATCTAGGATTGAAAGAGAGGCAGTTTTATTAAGTAAATTACTAAAATGAAAGTGCAGGACATTGTTTCTTTGGAAATTCACATTTATTTCACATATACATTTAGTGAACATGTTTTAGTTTTCTGAGATGTAAATCTTACCTGATTTTATTGCTAGAACTATTATAGAATGTCTAGGAAGTTTTGGTTTGTTGCATCTCCCTTGATTGTTTCTTTAGGTGTTCCTGGGTACAGTATAAACTAAAGAGGAATTTTTTATTAAAATTCGTGAAAGTCCGACTCATTGGTAAAATATATCCAATAGGTTGCTACACACCTTTAAATTTATTCCTGGGCAGTCTGAAC